CAGATGTCGAACGCTGCCGAACGCGGAGGCCGATTGTGCCTCTTTGTCGCTCGTTCCGCGCTCTCGCTTGCACTTCAAGCCTTAAATGGAACGCCTCAGAGCGAGGTAACGCCGCATGAGTAATGTTTTTTCGTGCATGCAGCCGGCTCTATCGAATTATAAGACGTCACGTCAAAAGAATAATTAAATCAGTTCAAAACGAAACGGTGCGTGAAATGGCGAATTATTAACGACCCATAAATATCGATCCTCCATAGTCCTCTGAAGAATTTACTTAATTTATGCAAAGTACAAATTTTAATCAATAGCTACTTTCTTCACACATACATGACCAGCCATACTCTGCCCTTATATAAGTTTGTTAAGGTAAAAATCACTTTGTGAGCATATGATCGGTCATATTGTTATCTTCTACTTTTTGTAACATTCGACATTCAATTAAAGGGATACTAAAAGTAGTAGCCAGAGAAAGTCCAAAGTATCTAATGTTGTACCTGTAGACCATCATCTCCGTGTATCTAGTCTGTAAGCATTGTTTTGTTCATAGTTATAAACTTAATAATGCTCATTTAAAGTTCCATTCGTCTGAAACGTTTACTTCTTTTCAGAATATTTGTACCACCAGCTGCCCCGTTGGAGCCTCCATTGAGTGGTTTCCACATCTTGTTGATTATTTGTGGTATTCTCTTTTTGTCGCTCTTACTTCTTGGACTGGGTTGTTCGTACTATTGTTTAAGAAGAAGGACGATTCCAGCTGTGTACAGATCCCCACCCTCGGTCCTAGAAACAGATTCAGAAATTACGAAACTTTCTGAAAGTTCCGTTGGTACGTATTGTAATAAACAACTAGTAATACAAGCATTTTATTTGATTTTCTTTATAATTCAAAGGTAAACAACTAACTATTTAGGCGAAATATTTGTCAACACGATTTAATTTTATTAGAAGAAATCTCTTATTCGTCTCAAAACTTACATTTCTTTTATCACTTTTGTAATGAGTAGGTGATTGAAATATTTCTCATTAATAGCTACTCTTTTCATTAAACATTACTTTTGTATTTGTAATGAATAATTTAATATAAGAATTTTCTTAGCATTACTTTCTTCTTACGAAGTAAATTGTTTGTAATTGACCAATAACTTTTTTATGAGTAATGTAAAGAATTCACCCCACCTTAACCCTTTTTAAATGTACTAATGGAATATCTGCGACTCGATAAAGACAAAAGTGATAGTTCATGAAAAGTAAAAGCATTATACTCATTATAAAAGAAATATTTAACGTAAATAATTTAGGACTAATACTCACTACTCATTGCAAAAGTAAACTATAATGTAAAATTTTTATATTACATTGGTAAATGACTAATGGAAATACACTCCATTATCACCGTCATCATCATAAGGTCCTCAGTGGTTGGACACGTACCTCCACTTTTTCCTATCCTTAGCTAATCTTCGCATTTCCCTAAAATTGGAACGTCCCACATCCATAACTGTTTGTGAAAAGTAATCCAATCTAGATCTACGTCTCTTCCTCTTTGATTCTATTTCTCCGTGTAATATATCTCTAACTAGTCCTTCATGCCTCAACCTAACCCAACCTATTTCTCTTATTACTTATTGATTTTTATAACGTCGTCTGTTCTAACTAGCCCTTCATGCCTGAGCCTAACCTAACCTAAACTATTTTTTTCTATTTCTTATTGATTTTCATAACGTCTTCTGTTCTCCTACTCTTTCTAATATATTATTTCTAACCTTTTTTATCCACAGTATCATCGTTCGTTTGTAACACCACATTTGCTTCTAAACTTTTGTTTTTCGCCGCGCCCCCCACCCACGTTTTGCATCCGTACACATCGTGCTCAGACATACACCTTTAACAATCTTTTTGGAAACTAGTATACGATGACAATATATTATTAGAAACATCAGTTTATTAACATTTATATAATAACCTTTAAAATGATCGAATGAATACGTAATTAGTTAAATATGCTGAAAAGGTTTCAAAATTCATTTCTTTTGGTTGACTCAATTTCGATAAATATTTACAAGGGTGAAAAAAGTTTTCATCTAATACATAATTTTTTGCTATAGCAGTTTTCCTTCTGCTGGAAAATTCTCTGAACATGAAACTTTGTTTCGTTTGGAAAAAAAATCTGTTTGTACAATTACTTAGCATTTTTGCTTTTTATTAGATTATATTTTTTTCTTGTGTCCCTGGAGTCATCTTGGAAAGCCATTGGCCTCATTATTCAAATAATTATTCGTGTTTCATTTCAGAGAATATTAATATTTGCTGTTAAAGTTCATTTACCTTTTTTGCAAACAATTTTGCATATCATTTAGTCATTTCAGAAGAAACGTGCCATAAAAGGTAGGTGTCACGTACAAATATTAGTAAATATTGAAACTGTCGTAGATATGCCCAAATTGGGTGTAGCTAGGCATATATTTTTAATCGTACTTACAAATTTGATCAATCTTGGCGCATTTTCTGTACTGGTAATATCTCAAATATTTTTTAAATTGTTATTTAACGCATTGCATATAAATGCAATTCTTATTTTTGTCAACTGTAACTATAAAATGAGATTTTTCTATTTTTGTCCAAATTTTGCGGTACGAGTGAAAGAAAATCAATTTTTTAATCGATAAATTGCAATTTGAACGCGAACGTCAGCGAACAGTTCGTCTTTGCTATTGAACTCACTATTTATGTTAGAGGTAGTTTAGAATGTCGTGGGTCATACCTAGGGTTTCGTAGCGACGAAACTCCATCCGTTTATTGATTTTGACTCCAATAGCATCCTTAATTTTGTGTATGTATAATAATTATTAATTACTTGACGATCATGCATTCGATCAAAACATCACGTGTAAAACTATTGGTTGCTTGGTTGTTCCGAAATATAACCCAACATACTGGCAAGTGCTGATGACGTCATAAATCGACGCCATATTGTACTGGTGAGACAAATGTGATGTAGTAGTATATCAAACGGGCGTGTGTGCATCAGACTTTGAGGAATTTTTTATTGTAAGAAACTTTAATAACTTTTAGAGCAAAATTATTGTAAACGAGCACAAACACTATTGTCAANTGATGTAGTAGTATATCAAACGGGCGTGTGTGCATCAGACTTTGAGGAATTTTTTATTGTAAGAAACTTTAATAACTTTTAGAGCAAAATTATTGTAAACGAGCACAAACACTATTGTCAATATGGCCAGTATATTTCGGAACGAATCAACAGTATGGCGTCGATTCATTACGTCATCAGCACTGGTCAGTATGCTGGGTTATATTTCGGAACACACCCTTTATAAGCAATATCTGTTATCAATTTATTTTTGGACATTTTTTAACAGAAAATGTAATTGTCATGAGAATTGTACCTAAGTGAAAGAAACTCTGGCATTTAGTTATGTACCCACGTAGTAGTTCTTCTTGTTAGATACTTGCTAAAATGGCTTCATTAGCATGTTAAATGTTCAAAACAGATATCTATATGTTGGTAAATTACACAATAACAGTAAACATGTGGGTTGCTAAATGATTAAAGACGGCGCCAGTCAGAAGTATTTTTTAAATATCTAAATCTGTCCATTGATGACATTGTCAATTAAATAAAAACCTAAAAATAGTTACCCATTAAAATAAAACACGTGTACGTTAACGGATATTCGCGTCTTTGGTGTAATGGGCTTACGAGAAAAAAGTTGTTTGCATGTTAACAATTACCCACGCCAAAGGAAGTTAAATGTTTGGATTAGTACCATCAACTATATTAAAAGGCTACTTGAACTTGTCGTCAAGAATGATTTATTTTTTGGCATTTTTTTTTTAAACAATAACTAAGCTGAACAATGCAACGCAAGTGAATATTTCCTCCTTCAATTATTTGATCATATTTTTAATTAAAAATCATGTGAACACGTACTTATGGAAATGTCCTCGAAATAAATAATGAAGTAGCTAGTCAATTTTTCATTTCTTTTATCTCCGTTATACTTTCGGTTTGATAAAACAAATCTTAAATTTAACTTCTTTGGTAATTATAAAAATATTTTTTTCACAGGAAAACTATTGACGATTGGAGGAGTGAAGATTCCACCTGCCCGTGTTTCGGCAGCTTCTGGAAGCGATACTCTGCCATCAGATTATCCTTCTGAATCACATTCCGAAGTTGAAGATGTCGAAACCCGTTCTCTACCAATATCTTCAGCTGGAAGTTACGAAAACAGAGCTTACGTCCAAGATACCAGTAGTTTTTATAGCGAACATTACGGTCATACCCAAGAACAGACAATCAAGAACGCTGTTGCAACACCTGCTACCGTAGAAAGATTACCAATGCCTATCAAGGAAGGGCCCAAGTTCGATGTTCAAGTCAGAGTGAAGAAAGTGCCTCCACCATCGCCTCCAAGTATAAGTGAATCAGACACATCAAGGAATCTGTCGACTATAATGGAGCAACGTGAAGAAAGTTTGAGGAGTGTTCAGTCACATCCAGTGGAAAGAACTCACTTCACGTATGTGCCCGAGTTGCACCCTCCTCCAAAACATATTCAGCCAGCACCAACTTTCAATAGAATATTAAGAAGACAACAACAAGAAATCGCTGAAGAGATTGAAACGCCATCGAAATCTCCACCGAGAGCTCTCGTATCGCTTGACACTGAATTAATGGACACTCGCTCTGTGACAGAAGTGTTTGATGAAACCCAACATAAATTTGTGGCACCTGTCCCTCCGCCCCCTCCTCCAATAGTTCCTAAACAACATCTCATCAAAGATGAAGCTCCTCCACCAGAACTTCCAATTCAGAAAGCTCACAAACCCGAAGTTACCTCACACCTGGTTGATGATGTCTATTTGAGAACTATAACGGAGAAAAAGAGGATCGAAGATATTGAGAGACATAAGAGATACGTGACGGAATACCACACAAGGCCTAAACCAATTGAAGATCAAAAATGGGACGTAACCATCAGAAATTATCCGGTTGAAATGCCTGAGCCTCCCGACTGGGAAAACTTCTCTGATATTTCTTCAGCATCTAATCTCACTCTTACTCCTAAGATGGAGAGAGCTCCTCTTAGTTTGCCTCCTCAGCCTCAAATAGATGACGATAAACTGCCTCTCACTGCACCTGAAATTGTAGGCAACATTGCTGCATATCCCCCAAGACGATTTGCTTCTACGCGAGAAGAAGTAACACGCGAAAGCTATTTAGAAACGTTCAACATTCCTCCTGAAAATCCGCAAGTTCCAAATTGGAATGTTCTCATTCGTGTTCTTCAACCACAAGACGAGGAGGGTCCTGTATTGGAAACTGCCGAACAGTTCAACTCGCAATTGACGATGGCAGATAAGATGAAGTGGCGGCAAATTATTACAACTGAGTCAACACTACGAACCCTTCTCACCGAAGCAACAGTTAGAGAAGATTTCGAACGAATCCGATCCGATCGAAGATATGAAACACTCTTCGAACCACCCAAGTGGGACATTATAATCCGAATACTAACACCTTCTGATAAGAAGGGCAAAGGTCATTACCGCAAGAAGTCCGACTGGGACAATAGAAGCCGCAGAAGCAGTTTGCCCACTCTTTACGAATACGATTCAGACGGAGGAAGTTCTGTGAAAACATTGACCAACGAGTCAGCGGTTCGTCCGCAAATTCCTCTACGACTGAGGAAATCTTCACGATCCAGTTACAGAAGTGAAGCAGACTTGCGATCGATGTCCGAAATGACAGTCGATTTTGCCAGACCTGATCATGGTGATTCTCAATCCGAAGTTTCCAGTTATTATCCAGGACCTGGTCGGTACTACGATGATTCCGAAACAGACACAGAGTACAAGCCCAGCTCTACACAGCATCCTTCTTTGACGCGATCTCTTAGCCAACCAAGTCTTGCAAGATCAGCTAGTGAGTTCACTGAACGGTGGGTTGCTCCGTCCAGGTACGATACCGCGAGTGAATACACTACACCAGAGGGTACACCCAGATCTCAGCGTAGCACCAGAATTCAACCAGTTCATGTTCCTCGTAGTGGGGTCGAACAGAGTTCTGTATGGGAGCAATCGTCAAGTGCCCAAGTCGCTCAAGCTCCCGGAGGAGCCAGAATAGTTGCTCAACAATACAGGAGCGAAATGTCTGCTTCTTATCAACAGTCTGGTCGCCGGAACTGGTTCGGCGATAACGATAGTGAAGCTAGTTTCAAATAACCAGCAGCTGCCAACTGAACTAATAAATTAATTACTATATATTTAGTTGATTAACATTGCCCATATGTAGTTCTAGTTTTTACACTGTATATGTAAAATATGCTGACGTTTGTCAGTAAGTAACTAGAACGCTGTGATAACAACATAACGAATGGGATCGGGACTCTTGGACATCAGTTTTGGGATTTCCAAGAGTTCAACACTTGACCTGGTTTTCCACTCGCTCACAACGGAAATAGTGAGAGACTGTAGAACTGGGTGACAATTTCTCACAACACTTTTTACAGTTTTCTAATTATTTTTTTTTCTCGGCTACTCTACATGGTGACGGTCTTTGGGGGCTTCCTGTGCAATAAAACATGGCGTCTTTTGTCTTCCTTTTAATTTCACGTTTCAAAAGATGACGGTGCTAAATAATATTATTCATTCCTAATATCCTATTTTGTAATTTTTCTATTAATAAATGACTTTTTAACAATTACATAATATTGTATTTGAGAATGAGCACAGAACTCCTCATCATTCCAGTACATTGAACCGAAAGTGACTGACTCATTTGGTACTGGTGGACTTTGTCTATTTATGTTGGTTTAAATCCTGATATTATTGTTGAGATTCCCTTCACTAAGACGGACACACGTTGATGGAGACTGTCAATTTTTGAGACAAACGTTTTCAGAATTCCCTGGTAGCTGTCCAACTTGCTGGATTAGTAGTCTAATTTATGATTGTCCGATTTGAAGTGGATCTTTTTAAAATTATTTGTAATAGCTTCGGAGTGGAAAATTTTTATTAAATTTAGAAAGATATCCACAGTGTCTAACGGTTTTCGCTATTAGTCATCTTGAAAACATTGTATGTGTCGTATAGGAGCTAATGAAGTCCAGCTGTTCCGATAAATGTTGGGGTGTAAAAAATAATTGATGTTATGATATATTTGACGCTAGTTACGTGATACGGTTTTCAGTTATCTATAGGTACTAGGGCCGTGTTACAGGAAACGTTAGATAATTTTCGAGCTTTGAAGTTAAACGTGACGCGCAATAAAGTGTTACGTTTCACCAAGCAGGGTAATTACTGTAATTAGTTACGGATTCTGCAGTTTGGAAGATAGCACTCCCAGACACCTCTGCTACATTAAATTAAGGGTGTACATACATACTAATGTGAAGATCATAAAGTAGGTACTTAGATGTTATAACACAACTGAGTTTCCTGGTATACTGTAAAATGCAAAACGGTTAATATTGTCAACGTTAAAGCCAGAGTTGGTATACTTCGTTTAGTTTCCGTAGCGATGTGACCTTCAGTTTGACCGGCGGAAAGTAGAAAAGAACAGCACTAGGCCAGAAAAGAAAGGAGACAACTCTCGGCCAAACTTTTAACCGGTGAGGAGCGTATAATCCGTACAGTACTGCACGGGAAAATTGACTATTATATCCACTACAATTGCATTGCTCAAATGTGCTGTTATTGGTACCATTTACTACTGAAAATATCAACGAGATGTTTATTTAATTTGAAGACATATTAAAGGCTTTAACGCTTGTTTTCGACTCGCACTAATATTCATGATTGAACAAAACTTTTGGCAGGTACTGTATGAAAAAGTATGTTTAATGAACAAGAGTCGAGAGTATAATGAGCTTTTTTTTCCCTACCTACTATTTTGCCAGCGCGCATCCAAGACATTGGAAGGGGCAAATTTCTAGAGAAAGTAAATGAAGTATACCTACCCGAAAATAGTTTATATCAAAATAACACTAACGTTTCGTCTATTGATGCAATACTTTATCAAGCCAGCTTTAAAAATGATTCATAAGAATTTATTTTGATAAAGCTTTGGATTTAAAGGCGAAATTTCGTGTTGATTTGATAAAGAAACTTTTTTCTTTCTGTCTTCATTCTACCCTTGATTTTGACATAATTACCTTCATATAAGGTTAAGAAAATTAAAAACTTTTGGTAGATACGTAAGGTTTTATAATTTTATTAAACTATCTCATGTCAGTAACAAACTCTTAATATAAACAAAACAATTCTACTATTTAGTAGGTACCTAATGTGACTTAACAGTGTCCTAGTAGGTATTTAATTAAGAAAGAAATAAGTTTATTTCAATTTAAACGAGAATGAAGCTGGTTACTTGGTTTTTTATTAATCTAATTTTTTTAATTAGATGTACTGAAATGATTCAATCAGTTAATTTGGCATGAATTCTGTTTCATGTTCATGTGAATATTATACATAGAACAGGTAGCACAAGATAGTTTGGTCCTATCATCTATTCTAAAGGAAAATTGAAAAATTACTTTCGGTAAATGAAAGTATTTTAAATTGTGCTGTCGTTGTTTACAGTATTTTAGTTTCTTCTTCGGTATTGCACGAGATCACGTGAGTGAATGTCGAAGTTGCAAGCAAAAAAGACATGTTTACTCCAATCGTTTAAACAGTTACGAAATGGAGCAAGAAACAGGTTTCATATCAGTGCGTTGGTTCGTTGAAATATGAAATAGATACGATTTTAAATAAAATGTAGACATACGTAAATGTTTTGTGTGTTGTGAAGTGAACGGTGGCGAATAAGGAAGTACCAATTCGAGGTAAGCTTTTGATTTTATGGAATCCTAGGGATGTAACAAACAAAAGCATTTTCCTGTTTTGTATCCTTGAAAATTTAGTTATTTATATGAAAACAGTAGGCGGAAAATAAAACGATCTTAGCATTTAAAGTTTACCTTTTGCGTTCTCAGTATCTTTGTACACTAATAAAAATACCAGCACACTGTACATACAAGAATCATGAAACAATTGCGAGAAACATTTTACTGTAACAAAAAATGATTTCGTTTTTTTTTATTATTAAAAGCGCCTTTTATATTGTTATCTCAAGCTGTTACATAGAAAAACATATTTTTTACTCACTTAGAATAGATATAATAGTTGTTTCTATTAAATTTGAATTTGAACGTATCTCGTGACTATTAAACAGGATCAATTGAAATATTTTGAAAAAATTATTCGAAATATAAGTATTCAGGTATTCAAAAATCCAAACATTTGAGTATTCAAAATTTCTAATATCTGTAAATCCGAATGTTTGGATACTCAAACACCTCTTTAAATATAAGGTAAGATTCTTTGGCTTACATGCCTGAGGAAATCTTATTAAATGTCTGTACATAATTTTTTTATCAAGTGTTTGCTTTCGAACATAATAAAATTCCAATTTTTTAAATATGTATCATCATATTATCCAAAATTTTTAAATCACTACATAGTCGCTTTCCCGCTGTTTGTCCCTATGTATGCTTAAATCTTTAAAACTACGCAACGGATTTTGATGCGGCTTTTTTTAAAAGATAGAGTGATTCAAGAGGAAGGTTTATATGTATAATACATGCATAATATAGAAGGGAAACACTGATAATTTTAGAGGTTTCTAATGTGATGTCGTAAATAAACACATTCTTGCTCTTACATTGCAAAAGCTGGCTGAACCCTACGAGATAGATCAAAATAATGTACTACAATATTGTACATCTTAAAAGGGCTTACAAAAAAGTCCGCGATGGTATATGTCTATCTGTGAGGGATAACCCACAATAACCATTTTTATCCTTTACTTTTTACGAGAAATAATGACTTATTTACGAAGCGATTGTAAGCAATACAGCATTAATTCTTATCCAATTAAGTACCTTAAATACATTGTGCATTTAATATAGATCAATATGGCCCTTTACAGCATGTAATTTAAATGAATATTTTCGAGGAGGCCGGTTTGTATTGTCTAATGACAAAAAAACTGTGAATGTTGTATATAAAGACATTCTGTAGTATAAAATAATTCGAAGTGGTCTGTATTCGTAATCCTAAAATGTAGCATCGTGCTACAGATGGCGTTTACGGCGCCATTTGTAGTATTTTCTAAAACATTCTGTAGTATATTTAATATGTTCAGGGGGAATCTTTTGAAGATTTTCCCTTTTCGATAATAATCTAAACAAAACAAAAATATATTTATTATCAGCATTACACCCGTGCGAAGCTGGGGCGGGTCACTAGTATTTAAATAAGCGGTTATGTTTGATTGTTTACATACTTCTTATTGTTGTCCAAGGGGCATTTATCGATTCTGCGAAAATGTGTACAAACAAGAGGTAAAAAGGAGGGGGACCATTACGGGTTGACCTTTCACACTAATAAGGGTTCTGGGCTATTACGTGTGCTATTATTTTTTTATACAATTTAGTAAAAAACCGGGAAACTACCTAAACAAGCTTGGCAGGACACCTAATTGCGGCTTAGTCCTTGTTAATCCATTAAAGCCGTTAGATTTCGTACTAACTAAAGCTGAAAACAATTTTATTGGTCGTTACGGGTTTATTTACGGCAAGTTTCTGAGAATCTGCTCAGCGTTCTTTAATATCGGCAAAAATTGAATTTTTTGTGTTTATTGAGTTCCAGTAGGAGCAAAGAAATTTTTTTTTCTCAAAAATTCTCCTGTGTGAAGGTAGTAGCAAACAAACGCTTACAGTAGTTCCAGAATGTTTTTATTTATTTACATTAAGCCTTGTGTGGTTTCTGAATGTCTAAAGGACTCTTAGATTACTTGCTAGTAACAAAAAGGCTTGTGTAAGTTAAACATAAAATCATTAATCTAATAAAAGATTGTGTTTCATTTATCTTTAATTCTGGCTTCTGTAAAAACAATTTAAATGTATGTTTTATATTTGCGGACAATATACAATAGTTAAGTAAAGATTGAATATAACAGATTTTGTAAAAAATGCTTATTAAGCTTACTTCTGAATGAAATTATCACCAAGATAAACACTGGGTTACGATAAAATATGCCGGTTATGTGTTGAAGTGTTAAGACAGTGGACTTATGGTAAATCAAAATCATTGTTATTCGGTATTTCTATGTCCAAATTAGATTGCAATTGGATGTCGGAGTGAAAAATGTCATCAATACGAGTTTGAAAGAAGAAAATATTGCTTCCACCACCTTACATTAAACTTGGTTTGATCAAACTGTTTGTAAAAGTATTTCGACTTTTCCAACGCTGATTATTTCATGTTTAGATATGGAGGTCATGATTTATATAGGTTTTAAGCATATAAAAAAATCGTAAGGACACAAAAAAGAAAGAAAAAAGTCAATTCAAAAATCACGTTCTTTTTGTTTATTTTCGATTTTTGCATGCTTTAATATTGTCGGAAGTTTTTTTAACCAACACCGTCGAAAAGAGCATCGTTAAAAACATATAAACACTGGTTATCGAATATTTTTTCGTCGCACTTATTACGTGGCAAGGGTTCAAATGGAAATGTGTTCTCTGAGCATTTATTGGTTAATGTGACGTGGTATAAACCATATGAATATCGTTTTCTATTACTTTTAAGACAATTACCACAAATATTAACAATTTAAGAAAAAAACTTCAAAAAAAAAATTTCGCAGACCTGTGTTATTTACC